CCCTCCTCTTCCCTCCCCTTGTCTCGGGAGGAAACCAGCCGGTTCCGTGCTCTTCAAGGTACTGCCTGCCAGCTGCTTTTGCTCTACGCGAAGAGCAGCCTGTTCTGACGCGATGTGCTTGTCACGTGACTGAGTTCCGTGATAAAAAGTTTTGAACCAATGAAAGAATAAAGTCAGTGTGGCTTATGTGCTACTTTTGTTGAAACCTTCAGCTGTTCACAACTTTGGTAAAACTGGCCCCCTTTTGAAAAAATTAGGGAAAACTTTGTAAGGGACTTTGTCTTTCAATCGAGGTTTAATTTACTTGGCACTAGGAGACTGGAAGTCCTTTGCTGCTTCCTGGCACCTTGTTAATTGTAGCCTTATTTAATACTTAGTGAGGTTTTAATGGGAAAAGACGGCATGTTCTGTGGACATCATAACAATTTATTTAAAGCCCATCATGATAGTCCTGGCTTTCATTTATTGAATTTAGATTAACTTGGTTTAGAGTCAGATAGAGCTGGGCAAGTGGCCAGACTCCCCCAAAGACAAAAGGCTACTTTATTTTTCCTTATTTAGGCCCACTGAGTAGATTTCTTCACCATTTGGCTACTTGTTATGCAACACAGGGTGGTTCTTCAGAGACTGGACTAGAATGAATGTGTGTGTATTTGTGCCTATGAAACTTTTGGGAAGATAAATGTATAAAAATATTTCATTTGTACCTGGCGTTGTAAATATATTTTACTCTTCTAAGTGGAAAAATATGAAATTAATTTGCCCTCCAAATTAGAAGTTCTTATTTTTGTTAGCTTTAAAAGGCCAGTCTAGATACGAAGCTTGGTTTTATGCCTTCTGGGTGCTTGCTTGGTGGTTAGAACTCAGTACACGTTTATAAAACAGAAGAAGAAAAAAAATCTGTTTTGTAATGAAGTGGAAAATCCTTTGCTGAAGGGAAAGATCGTAGATTTTTAAAATTCTGTGGTGCTGTTGTCCCTATTGCCTTTTCTCTTTTTCTTTCCCCTTGAGCCTTCCTCCTTTAGAACTTTTGGCAAGATTTGTTTTAGCAAGAAGTTTTGGAACCCAGTCTTTATAAGCAGCAAGGCCCCCACCCATCAAAAATAGCCCTGATGGTGGAAAGAAAACACTCGGAGATTATTGTCTGTGATAGTCTAGTTTACCTTACACTCGCCCTTCCTTCCAGAAAGAAAGCAGAGGTGTCCTTTCAGAGTTCTTGTTACACAGCAGTTCAGTTCAGCGCTCACTTACTGAGCGCCTTCCACCTAAAGGTCCTGTGCTAGGCACTGACACCCCCTCCCCCTCCGTGTAAACTCAGCAGCTCCTTGTGAAGCACAGCGCCTGGCACGCGGCTGCTCAGCACCTGTTTGTACGTGACGGTGTGATCGCCTCTCCAGGGTTCAAATGTCTAGCTGTTGACATTCCGAAACTCACTGTAGTTAATACTCATAGGGCTTTTCTCCTTTGGAAAATGGGCAATGCGTTGCTGAATGTGTTAGCTGAGTTATGCCCTAGAGAATGTGGAATTTATGAAATAGCCGTGCGTTCCCGTTCTCAAGGTGGATGCTTCCTTTACATCCTGGAAGCATCCCTGAAACCTCACGACCCACCGCTGCACCTCCGCCTCTGTCAGATAAGACAGAAAGGTAGAGTGAGATACAGGACTGAGCTGCCTTGCTTCAGGATATCATTATTAAAAGTCACAAGATCCTCTGTCCCAAGACCCAGATAGTGTAAATACAGAGATGAGCGTCTAGAATTTATATTGTGCTGTGACTTTATTCTTGGCGGCCACTGTATCTCATGTCTGAATAACTTTCTGCAAAGTAATAAAGATTGGAAGACTCCTACAATATCTAACTGTGCTGGACTAAATTTCTGCACCCCCGGGTCACTGTCCTCTGAAAAAGGCACAGCGTGGCCCAATGATAGCATGTGAATCACTAGTGGGTAGTTAGGCACAATAGAAACGCCTTTGTTACCAGCTCTTCAACTAATGCGTCGTTCTCTCCTCCCCTTCCCCCCCAGTTCATGGACCGTCTGAAGCTGCTCCTGATGCCTCTGAAGCATCAGCCTGACTTCATCTACCTGCGCCACGTCCCCCTGCGCAGGGTCCACCTGTTCACTTTCCTGCAAGTGTTGTGTCTAGCCCTGCTCTGGATCCTCAAGTCAACCGTGGCTGCTATCATTTTTCCAGTCATGGTAGGGGTTTCTTTCATCGAACCTACCCCTGAGGTCATACCAATGTCATGTGGTTATCGTAATGTGGGAGACACAGGTGTCTTTTAGGTATGGTTCCAATTTTTTCCAGCTTTGACCAAATCCCTTCCATTTGTTCAGTTGTAATTTAAGGCTCCTGTGTCTGTGATTGTCTCCGCTGGACCTCAGAGTCAGACGAAGCTGAGTTCAGATACCGGCCCTGGTTCGTGCTGATCAATGAACCTCCCTGAGCTGCCATTAACTTATCAGTAAAATGAAGGTGGCATTGTTGTTACTCTGGGCATCAGTGATGGATACCAAAGTTACAGCAAAATGTCTGGCACATAGTGGAAACCAGTACACATTAGTTACTTTAAGATACTGTTGTGGCCCTGGCCTCTGTGGCTGAGTTGGTTGGGTGTCATCCTGAGCACCAGGAGGATGCCAGTTCGAGTCCTGGTCAAGGGCACATTCCCAGGCTGCAGGTTCGATCCCCTGTGGGGGTGTGCAGGGGGCAGCTGATCAGTGTTGTGCTTTTGCATCAGTGTTTCTCTCCCTCTCTCCCTCTCCCTTCCTCTTTCTCAGAAAAATCTAAAAAAAAATTTTTTTAAATCAATAAACTATTTAAACTACCCCCCCAATACTGTTGTACAATAGAATCATTCTAACAAACCAAGACACATTTCAGTCCAAATAATAGAGAACAAATCAGGCAACTTATGAGAGGTTACCCAGGGAACTAGGAGAAATGGAGAGAGAAGTTTAGTCTTTGAAGTTCTTGCTAGTTTGTACCATGCTAGGTTCCGCCTGGGCTCTCTGTCCTTGCTCTGACATGAGAAGCGGGGTACACGGATGCTCCCGTCCGAATCACCAGGGAAAGGAGGGAAAGAAAGCGCTAGCTCTGTGTCTGGTTTCATGACTGAGTTTTATACTTCACCGTAGCTTTCCATTTCTTGCATGGACACCGCGTGTGCAAAACTCGCAACATGTCACAAAGCCAGCCTCAGGTCGGCTCTGTCACCCCTAAGGGCTTTGGAGGCAGAATTTTCATACATAAACCATATTTTATTTTTTATAAAAATTCTTTTAGCCAGGATTATTATTTTGTTTTATGGGTATTTGTTGTTTTATAATTGCTTTTTTCTCCAGAGGAGGAGGAGAAATGGTATAAAATACTATTTGTAGTCAGGTGTCATTTCAATTATAATTTACATTCAGCATTGCTCTGTATTGGTTTCAGGTGGACAGCATAGTGGTTAGACAGTCATGCCCTTCACAAAGTGTTCCCCCTGAGACTTCAGTGCCCACCTGACACCATGCACAGCTACTACAATATTACCGACTGTGTTCCCTGTGCTGTACTTCACGTCCCTGTGACTATGTCTGTAACTGCCAATTTGCACTTCTTAGTCCCTTCACCTTTCCACCCAGCCCCCAACCCCCGCCCCTCTTCAACTCTATTAATTTACTGAAAAGCACACTGAGTGTGAGAAATGACTCCCATTTGCCTGTTGGTATAATCTACCTATCTATTAGTTTTGCTAAAGCTAGGGAAAAAACAAAGTTCGATCTGGATAGATTTGAAATATATCCAATAAATCACTTACTGCTTGTGCTAAATAATAAAACAAGTTTGCCTTTGTAATGTATTTTTTATCTTTTGAGAGCTTCTTTTGGATCACAGAACAATCATGTAAGATCAGCAGGGCAGATTTATTAACATCTCTCGGAGAGGAAGAAACAGTTATCAGAGGGCACATAGGCAAAGACAACTGTTTATGTGAGGCAGAGCCATGACGCTTGTATCCTAGTGCATACTCAAGAGCTATGTATAGAATCAGAGATACGGAGTTTAAAAATACTGATTTTAGAGGCAGACAGCTGGGCCCCTCCGTACGCTTCCTTTTCTGGTTTAGTGATCTTGGGTGACATACTATGTCTCTAAACTTCGGTTTCCTCAGCTGTGAGATGGAGATCATCATTCTACTCTTTGGGTTTGTTGTGAGAATAAAGAGTTTTAGCACAGCAGCTGAAATGCTGAGAGTACTCAGCCCACGGCAGTGCTTGAAGTCACCCAGTAGATGAAATGGTCTGTGCATACTCCAGCTAATACGTTGAAGAGGTCTTAGTGTCCTGCCTGTTGCACAGATTTTCTTGATTTCTCAAAAACTTGTGTTATGTTTTAATTGTGAATAATTAGAAATCATATGCAGGCTATTTTTTTTTTCCTTTAACTTTTTAGTTGTCTTATTGAAAAGCTGATATGGAAGAAAGTAGGTTAAAAACGAATCCCTTCACACTGAAATCCTAAGTGAATTTGATTACACATTTCAGTGACCAAAGCAAAGTGAGTTTCAATTTAGACCTTTATGAACCAGCTTTCTCCATGAAGAGAAGGTTCATGGCCCACTTGATAGAAGTTCTCATAAGCAGGATGAGCTCCACCACCGCCTGGCCTGATACAGCACAGGTTTCATGGCGCAGCGTTTGTATGGTTAGGCCTTCCTCCGACAGGGCTTCTTTCATGGGATTTATGTTTATCCTTTTAGATCTTGGCGCTTGTAGCTGTCAGAAAAGGCATGGACTACCTCTTCTCCCAGCACGACCTCAGCTTCCTCGACGATGTCATTCCAGAAAAAGACAAGAAAAAGAAGGAAGATGAGAAGAGAAAGAAAAAGAAGAAAGGCAGCCTGGACAGCGACAATGATGACGTAAGGAGCTTTCCAGAATTCCCGAGTAAAGCTAGCTAAAGAGAGAAACGTGAAAAATCAGGTTTTCTGTCCCTTATGTGAGACATGCGGATGAGTTCCAGGAGTGTTTACCTGTCCGTGTTACATGTCAGTCTTCATCTTCCTTTGCCCTTTATTGTCTCTCTGTGTTTTTTTAAAATATTTTCTGACGCCTTTCTTTAACCATTAATACACTGAAAATGATGAAATGACTTCTGAAAAACCCAACTAAAGAAGCTCACCACGTCTAAGGAACTCCAGTCTCAAAGATAAAAAGAGTTTGCTTAGTAATGCTGTCCAGTGTATCTGGTTGGCTCTTGGCAGCCCAGGATTTACATTTGCGATAACTGCGCTGGATGTAATGCTCAGGCCAATGTGGACAAATGCGGGTGCCCTCGCCGCCTGTGACCTACGTTTGAGAAGGCTCTCAGCCACCCTTCTCCGCTGTTGGACATCTCTTTGCATTGGGCCTTGACATGATTGTGGATTATTTCTCTGTAACCCTTCAATAAAAAGGAAAGGGAACTGGACTTTAGGGTCTTTCACATAATTGTAGTAGCCAGTCTCAGAGTCTAGGTGATGCGCCTGCAGTTGGGTGATTAAGTTGAAAAATAAAATAATTGCCCATTTTTCCCCTCGGGACCATTTCATAGAATTACATGTGCTCCATTAGGAGTCTGTAATTAGTGCTAGGAGAGAAGGTGAGATTTAACACACACACAGAGCTTATTCCAGTAGCCTTTTGAAAGGACTGCCAAAATGACATTTTGTGTGTGAAGATTTGTTCTGGATTTTTTTTCACACAGTGCAGTATCCCATCTAAAGTGGGAGTGTAGTTAATTTTTGGTGTGTACTCTATAGTTGATCATTTTGATCGATCATGCATACTTGTCCTTAATTGCCAAAACAGCTCTTTATAGTATATATTTTTGTTCCTGCTTTACAGGTGAGGAAATATTGAGAAATGTTAAGTCATTTTTTAAGTGTACACAATACAACAAACCCGTAAATGTTTGCTGATTGGGAATCAACTTACTTATGGAAAGCTTTCCAGTTGTCCCCATTTGTGGTGACTTCCATTTGGTGCGGTTCTAGTTTTAATTGACTCCATCCCGTCAGCTCAGGAGAGAGGAAAACAGATGCGAGCGAGAAAGCTGGTGTAGGTGGTGGCAAAGCTAGCCAGTGGGAATGACTGTCCTTAAGGCTCTTCTCCTTAGCACAGTGTAAATGATAATATGATACGTTTAATCAGGACTGGGAGGTAGGGAGGCCTGTATAGTAACACCTTGCTTAAAACTTACAAATTTCTTTCACAGTCTGACTGCCCATACTCAGAAAAAGTTCCAAGTATTAAAATTCCAATGGACATCATGGAACAGCAACCTTTCCTAAGTGATAGCAAACCTTCCGACAGTGAGTAGAACTAACCTCTTGCTTCCCTGCTTTAATATGATTTGCACTTGCAGAGAAAAAACCTTTAGAACGATCATTTACATTAACTTTCCATCTGTTTTCTTTTTTTTTTCCTATGCGAAGATTTACACTGAATTATTAAAAAACCCCGTCATTTGTACACCCCTCGCGCTTCCCTTTCCTCCCTTCTGTCCATAACCTTTTACATTTTGGTTTGGTCGCCTTTCCTCTGATCCAAGTTATCTCCACCTTCTTTCGGTTGCTACACTCATAACCGCGTTTTCACTGATTTTCCTTTTCTCTGCTGGAATTTAGAATCGCGGCTTCTAGGACTACCTCACTGTCTGTTACTGTTTGTCTTCCTTAGGCTTCAGCCAATGACCAAATCAGCTCAAAAGAGAAATTGCAGCATGGGCTCTCAGCGATCAAGGAATCAATTGTTAATATTGAGAATTTGGAATGATTTATTATTTTAAATTTAATTGGCAATCATCAAATATTAACAGAACTTTTTAGGTATAACTTATAAGATTTGTGCATTTTCTCCCTAATGCCTTCATTCCTCCTCTGTTATTTCAAAATTACCCGTGTAACGGCGCTGTTTTTTTCCCCTTAGGTAATAGCCTGGTGGCTAAGGTGTAACGATTTCTGACACGTCACCTTTTCTTTTGGAATTAATAGGCCCCTTAAAGGGGGGGAGGGGAAACCTCTGTAGTAAGATTACGGAATATATCTCATGCTTTTCCAATCGCAAGTAGCTGCTGCCTCCAAACCACTTTCACTTTGAGTTCCCGTTTGAAGAAAATGTATTTTTTAAGACCCAGATGCACTTCAGAGTCTTCTGATCTGATGAAGGCAAAGAGCCAGTCGAGGCGTTTTCCCCGTTTGACAGTGCCACTCACTGCAGCCTCGGCGACAGCTAACCCAGCCGAGTGTGACATGAATGTCTGCCATGAAAATAGGTCTGTCAGCTATTTATCGTTGTGTATCAGATGACTACAAAATGTAGCCGCTGGAAACTACAAACGTGTCTCCTAACACAGTTCCTGACATTCTGAAATTTGGGAGCAGCTGATTTTTGGTGGTTCGGGGTCCAGGTATCTCGAGGTTGCAGTCGAGCTCGCGGCTGGGACTGAGTCTGAAGATTTCACTGGAGCCGGGATCTGCTCCCAGACTCACTCACGGGGCAGTTGGCAGGAGGTTTCGGTTCCTTGGCCTGTGGCATCTCCATGGGCTGCCCATGCATGATATGGCTTCTACCAGAGCCAGTGAGAGTGAAGCCAAGGTAGAAACGGCAGCCTTTTATACCTGAAACTCAGCAGTGGTATCTCATCCCTTCTGCCATAGTCTGCTGGTCACACAAACCTACCCCGGTACGGTGTGGGAAGGAATCGATGCAAGGATATGAATGCCAGAGGCGCAGGGGGCATTGGGGACCATCTTGGAACCTGGTCCCCAGTAGGTTTAAAGAATTAAGACACTCTCACATTTAGTGTCCAATCTATATGTAACTTCTAGTTTATAAATGAGGCTAATTTCTTCAGTCCTATCAGTGGGATTTAGTTAATTTTTTCTTTTTGAATTCAAGTTCACCAAACCATGTTCTGGCTTCATTTTTCATCTCTAAGGCATTAATAACAAACGAAGACCTATAAAGAGCCCAGCATGTATGTCCATCGACATCATAAACTGGTAGAGCCCTTCTAAGTACAGTTTAAAGACTGCTTTAGAAAAAAAATCACCAGGTGGAATTTGAGGCTCCTGGAAAAAGTTCATGGCAGTTAGATTATTTAGTGCTAGTGTTCCTCATTCTCTCAAAACCCTTTAAAAAGGATACTTTGAAAGTTGGCATATTAGAAATTTACTTAAGCAAATCACCCATGATCATTCTGACATCTTTTTTTTTTTTTAAAGATTTTTTTCATGAGTTTTAGAGAGAGAGGAGGGAGAGAAAGAAACATCAATATGAAAGTGAAACATCGATCTGCTGCCTCCTGCACACCCCTACCAGGGATTGAGCCCACAACCTGGGCACATGCCCCAGCCCGGAATCGAACCTGGGAACCTTTTGGTGCACCAGATGATGCCCAACAGGCCAGGGCTAACTGACATCTTTTCTAACATCATATTTATCTTTTATAATCCATGAAAAAACAAAATTGACAGAGTTGCAGTATAAATAAATTCTTCTGCCTGGCCGGGTGTGGCTCAGTGGTTGAGCATCGACCTAGGATCCAGGAGATCGCAGTTCAATTCCCGGTCAGGACACATGCCCGGGTTGCGGGCTTGATCCCCAGTGGGGTGCATGCAGGAGGCAGCTGATCAATGACTCTCATCATCATGTTTCTAGCTCTCTCCCTCTCCTTTCCTCTCTCTGAAGTCAATAAAGATATATTTAAAAAAAAAAAAAGATATATTTTAAATAAATAGGTAGATGATAGATAGATAGATGATAGATAGATGATGGATAGATAGATAGATAGATGATAGATTCTTCAAAATCTTTTTATTCCCCCATAAATAACAGGACAAAATTGTGAATGCCGAATATATAAGGAAATCCAAGAGCAAGCATAAGGCATTAAGTAGATGCTTTCATTTTCTAAAAACGGTTCACCTCCGACCTCCTCACTGAAGAGAACATCAGTGGTCCTTCCTAGAAAACTGAGTAAAGGGAACTAAATGGTTCTGGCTTCATCATGGTGGTTAGATTCTTACCTCGATGCCGTGTTTCTTTCTTATGCTTCCAGTTGTGAAAGATGCATCCATTTGTGTGGAGGTGCATTTTTATTTTCACTCTGGTTTTACATACTATCCAAAACTATTCTTTATGATTAACAAAAATTTTTTTTTCCAGGAGAAAGATCACCAACATTCCTTGAACGCCACACATCATGCTGATAAAATTCCTTTCCTGCAGTCACTGGGTGTGCCAAGGTAAAGCACGGCCCGGTGTTTTCCCTGCGGGCTCTGTGGGACTCCCCGCGGGAATGTAGTCAGTGGCGGGCTCTTGGCAGAGCACCTGTTCTCCTTCCTCCCTACAATGTATCTTAATAAATTACCCAGCCACCAACCCTGCCCCAGGTTTTACTGGTAGAGAACCTTCTAAGGGGCCTACTCTGCTTACTCTTAGAAATACCGGGGCCTTTCAGTATCATTACCATAAAACCCAGGGTCAGTGGCAGCTCTTGCCGTTTCCGCGTCATCTCTGACTTAAGGGGTAACTGCATTTCCTGGCAGCTCTTCAAGAGTTTCCTTCCATCGTAACAGGGCCCTAGAGATTTCAGGTCCTCCTTGATTGTCAAAAAGGTGAAATCCCTGAATGCTTCCTACATGTAAGTCTTTTTGCCCTTGAAGTTGACTGTATCCCCCACCTGGCGGTCCGCCTTCTTGTGTCGTTGTTGTTGTTTTAATCTAGGTGGGGGAGCTAATGACCCTTTTACTTGAATATCTTGACTATTGGTACCTCCATCCCAGTTAAAAATGTTTGTTTCTAATACGGAAAGAGGAGGTGAGTGTTTAAAGAGAACACAGGAGCACACGCTTGGCTCCTGCAGGATGCGTGGGCGCGAGGGGCGATGGAGGACATCGATGCACTTACCCCCCTCTCCTTTCTCTCCCGCCAGCCCCCCGAGAACCCCAGTACAAGTGGTGCCTCAGATCCGAATAGAACTTGAGCCTGACGACAGCGATGATTTCTGGAGGAACAAGGGAACAGAAACCACATTGTAGCCTGTTTGTCTTCCCTCAAACTAACAGCTTTTGTTGTTCATGGTCTCGTTTTTCGTCTGGTGGTTTATTTCTTAATTCTCGTTTTGTTTTGGGTTTTGGTCACTGGCTGAGTCATCCAGTGCTATCTCCGCTCCTCCCTTGCGTAGGTAAAATTGAGACAGGAGTGCGCCGTTCCCGAAAACCAACCTCTGAAGAACCCCCGTCTGTTATACTTTCAGACGCGTCCTCTGACACCCAGACTCCTCTGTCACGCAAGACACGCACAGACACGGTCCTTTTCCCCTAAGCAGAGGGCAGAAGTGTTAAGGACTCGGTAACACCTTTTATTCAAATATTGAAGGAACTTACCACTTCGGCTTCAGAGCTGTGCTCACTGGCTTGTCCTTCTGTCTGGCGGAACAAACCTGGGCCTCCAGACAGTTTCTTCTCGCTTGCAGAGCTCTCCAGAACTGGAAAAGTGCTGCTATCCTAATTTGCTCTTGCTTATAAACCCTAATCCTAGAGTTATCAAAAAAAGAAAAACTAAAGGTACTTTACTCCCCCTAGAGAAACTGTTGCCATCATTGTAGCAAGTGCTGGAATGTCCCTTTTTCCTATGCAACTTTTTTTAACCCTTTAATGAACTTATCTGTTAAGTACATTTGAAGAACATTTTTCTTCCTAGATTTTGTTGTTTAAATTATGGGGCCTAACCTGCAACTTATTTTTTTGTCGATTTTTTAAACTTTTTTTTAATTACTGTAAAAAAAAATGAATTTTTTCCTGCAGCAGGAAACATAGTTTTGAGTAGTTCTACCTCTTATTTGTAGCTGCCAGGCTTTCTGTAAAAATTGTATTGTATATAATGTGATTTTTACACACATATATACACTCACACACACATACACACACAAAACCACAATCTTTAGGGTAAGCCTGAGGGCTGGATCAGAGGACAAACACCATGTTTCTAAGCATTCATTTTCCCCTTTCTTTAAAAGAAATTTATCTGTTCTATGAAGGAGATGGGGAGAAGGGAGAAGCTCCTGTGTAATGGGGTTAACTGATGCTTGATAATAGTAGAATCCAGGCACGGATGCTAATTGTATTACCAAGTCCATGTCCTATGCAGTATTGTTAGGTTGTTTTTTTCATTTTGAAATATTTGTGTGTTTGTGTATATACTCTGTGTGTGGCTGGTGCACATATGTGCAAAGTTAGGGAGAGTGGTGGTAGGCGAAGGGCAGAGTTACCCAGCCTCTTGTGTCGGTTTCCATAAAACCCAAACCACATGTGAAAAATCCATCAGAGTCCAAGAGACTTACTGGTAGGCAAATGAGGGTGAATAGAACAGTAACCATCATTGATACAACAAAGTAGCCCGTATTTACAATACCAAATCAAAGAAATATCAATAGACCATCTACATATCTATCTATAAAGTGTTTATAGGACTACAGATAGATCCGCAGAGGTATGTGTGTATACATTTTAATAAGACTCACATTTTTTAGGATGGAAAGGCAACTATTTCTTGTGATTGGGAGATTTAGAATATACGTGTGTACATATATACACACACACACTTTGAATAATAATGTCAATGGGTTAAATCTGAAAAGAAAAACATCAGTTGAGCTATCAGCTGTTAAGTGTGTATACAGTTTTTGGGACACCCTGTGTGTGTGTGTATGTGTATGCGTGTGTGTACATGCACACACATGCACATACATACACATATACACTTCAAAGTACCATATTGAAAATTAGAAAAAAGTTAATTAATCTTTATTAACTAAATTACTATTTATTTAAATATAATGCTTTTAATAGGTTGAATTATGTATTATGAATCTGTATTAAAACTTTTTTAAAAATATGTTTTTATAGATTTTTTTAGAGAGAGAGCAAGGGAGAGAGATAGAGAGATAGTAACATCGATGAGAGAAACATCATCCATTGGCTGCCTCCTGCACGCCCCCTGCTGGGGACCTAGCCAGCAACCCAGGCTTGTGACCCTGACTGGGAATCAAACCCCTGACCTCTTGGTTCCTGGGTTGATGCCCAACCACTGAGCAACATTGGCCAGTCTGCATTAAAAACTTTTTAAATGTCGAATCCATATTTTGGAGTCATACAGTCATATTTTGTGATATATATCCTAATTAAAACAGATTCTTGGAAGAGTACAGAAACAGAATGAACCCACCTATTTTGGCTTTATAATATATACATATTGACTCCTACTTATTCTTATATTAATTAAATTATAATTCTCTCCTCTTAAAATTCTGATTATAAAAAATTTATTCTGAATTAGCTGTTACTTGAAAGTTTTAAGACTTTCAATTTTATATAAAACTTTCAACTTTATACAAATTAGACATGAGCAACCTGTAACTATTTTATTCAAGTGAAAGTGGCAAATTACCTGTTATTAGTTAAAACCTCACATGCTGAATTTTGGCATATGTTTGTATTTACAGGTATCCTTAAAATGATTACTCTCTCTTATATAGTTTTTTCATTATCCTAAGATAAAATAGAAAGCTTTCTCCCCCTTTTTTACTGACAGAAGCACCAATAAAGTGTTTAAAAGCCATGCATATGTTCAGCCTAACCTAAGATCTCGTTAAATTAATGAAATTTTTGTTCATTTTTATAGAATCTCTAGATATAATTTATTTTTTTGATCATGAATCAAGTATTTGAGGATTTATGCCCCTCTGCATCCCTTTCAGGAAGCTCCTAAAACAATTGCACTCAGTATTTCCGCCTTTGAGTAGATCTGAAAGCTGCCTGCACCTCCATTTATGACCCATGTTCAGTGACAGGCTGGTACTCATCATAGGAATGCAGAATATATTTGCTAAAAGGATCAGTTAGTATCCAACCGTTTCAATATTTTGGAACCCAGGGAAGTATTTTAAAAATCATAACTTTCAGAGGAATAGAAGTAGTTACCAAAAGCTGAGGTCCAACACAGAGCCACCAGATTATCACTATCTTAACTAATTTTCCTCATTATTTAAGAACTACTCAGACTGTGCAGTTTGTCTCTGTGGAAACGGCACACAGAATGCCCAGGTAAAATTTTACAAAGTGTTTCTCCCTGATGTGAACATGGACAAAGAGATGTAAGTTGCTTAGAACTAAGGGTGCCCTCAGAATTGTTAACCCCCAGCGTATGGCCACATAGACTTATTGTTGGAAGGAAAGATCCCGAGGGCAAGAGTCTGCCTTATGGGAGCAGAAGAGGCCTCTGGTTTTGCATTTGAAAGAAAATCTCTTGGACGCAGTTTTCCTTGATACAGATCAATCTTCTCTACCAGGTAAAACTAGAATTTGGAACCCTAATTATTTTGTGTGCCCTACACAGTAGTGTTCCTGATTGTTCTTCCAGTCAAGCTGTGGAGTGGGGGTGGGGGGAGAGGCTTAAAGAAGAAGGAGAAAACCCCCTCTCTAACCAGCCCCCAACCTCGAAGAGGGGGAGGGAGAGGAGTTGTCTGCCTTCAGTAGTTCAGTTGCATATATTTTATGCACATGCACCAACACACACAGAGTAAATCTTTTATCAGCTCTACATTGGCGTTTAATACAGAGAATGATTGTCTTCCGAGTCTTGGTTCTTTTGTTTGTTTTTAACTGTGTTAAAGTACTTGAATTGTATTGACTGCTGACTATCTTTAAAAAACTAAACAAAACTATGTGAGTTGTATTACAGAGGTTGACATTGTTCAAGGATGGGACAAAGCTTTCTTCAATCCTTTTCATACCACTTAACGATTTTGGTGCAGGAACTCGAGATTTTCTTATTTATTCCGTATTTCACATCTGCTCTTCACAGCATGAGCATGAAGCCCCGTGGCACCAAGTGGCCGAATGCAGTCAAACGCTATTTTATGGCACTTGGCCATCTGAAGGGCCTTGGAAGTTTTCAGGTGGTGACTTCATTGAGCTTCATTGCAGCCTGAAATAGTTTTGTGATATATGCAAACATCAAATTGTGTTTTGATCAGATATTTGGATATGTCCTATTTTTGGCTCATTTCTTTGTGTTCTGTGGGTACATACAAAAATCCTGAATTCTATTTCCTAGGCACATGTTGCAACTCAGGGCTAATGTCATCCAGTGAAACTTTTAGAGCCAGAAGTAACTTTGTCCCACCCCTACAATGTGAAAAGAATGAATAGTTGCCTCTTTTAGCCGTTTTCATGGCTGGTACATATGCGTACACATTACTTTTCAGAATCAATACGCACTTTCAGATATTCTTATTTTTATTCTCTTAAGTCTTTATTAACTTTGGAGAAATGATGCATCTTTTTATTTTAAATGAAGTAGATCAACATGGTGGAACAAAATGATAAAGAACAGAAAACATTTCAATATATTACTAATAATTTTTTTCCAATATAAAACCTAAAATTCCTATAACATTATAGTATTTTACAGTTTTATGAAGCTTTCTATTGTGACTTTTATGGAATTAAGAGATGAAGAAGATGAGATATTTTAGCATTTATATTTTTCAAAATTAAATGTATACTTAAAATAAAGTAACTTTATGCATTTATGAGCGTCAAGTGCTTCTATTGAACTTTTCAAATAATTATTACATGCCTATTATTTTGTTCCTGGAAGGGGACCTGGCCCTTAGTAGTGTGTGGGTTCTTGACTTCGTGCAGGAAAGATTTCACAAAACGAGTCCAGGTGATTTTTTGAGGACGTTTATTAAAGCCGGGGACAGTGAAACAAGGAAGGGCTTAAGATAGTGGAAGCAACAGGAGATCCTAAGTGGGCCTTCCTTGGCTCTCTGGAAATGTTATGGGAAATAAATGAGCCTTGGCGAGGCTGCTTTGGCTCCCTGGGAAATCAGAGAAAAGGGGGCGTGGGAGACAGGTTCAGGGGTTAGCCCAGGGCAAACTGCCGCTGCCCATTGCTGCCCGTCGCTGCCCTGGTTGCAAGCTTGTGGGGTCCTTTAGAGGTCAGGAGATGCGTGCCTGTGGGGGAAGAAGAGAGGAGCGGGAGGGAAAGTTGCTGGCGGGCTCCTGGGAGGGAGAGCTGCTGGGTGGGCCTTCCATCCTAAAAGCTTTTAAGAGTGTAGATCTTATGGGAGGTCCCAGGGGAAGATCCCAATAGAATATTCATCAGCTTTTCAGGTGGGTCCTTTCAGGGTCTTGGTCTCCACTGATTGGCTGGCACCAAGGCAGGGGGTCATTAGTCAGTACAGCTGGTCCTGAGCTCAGTTGTGGCATCACTTCTCTGGTTTTGCTGCTTTTCTGGGCCTGGATCAAACACAACTGAGGCCTGGATGTTATCTCAAGGGAGGAAAGGTCAGCAGCGGTATGAAAAGGTAAGGGGAGGAAAGGTCGCTCTCCCAGCTTTGCCCCAGCCTGGCACTCAGGGCCTTCTGCCCTGGTGACCCTTCTGCCCTGACGACCCTCTGTACCTCACTGTGAATTGCTTGGCGAGTTTTTTTTCCAGTTATCTGTCTCACTTTCCCTATTCCACTTGCCAAGGAGTCTTCCTAGCTTCTTACCAACCTGCCTCCGTTTTAGTCCTTTGGGTGCTGAGGGGGATACAAAGCTGAGTAAGCCAGAGTCCTTGGCCCCAGGTTGCTTTTAATCCCTCTGAGCAGGAGGGTAAAATGGTTTCAACTTCTTCCAAGAACTGAGCTGCCAGCTAAATGACAGCCCATCTAACTGCATTACCTTTCTTCAGTGAGACCTCCTATATAGTTCTGTTCACTCAAATAAAGGAGGCTAGCCATTCTAGTTCTTTGTATCAATTTTTGAATTTATGAGAGCTCTCTTAAAAAAGTCCCAATCCACAGGCTTTTCCAATTCAAAAGAGCCATTGTCTGGCCGCCTACAATAGGATCTATTAATCTCAGTAGTGAGTCAAATCAATAAGCCTTTTATGGTTTAACCAAAGACAGATCAAGATGCAGAAAATTCACCCGAGTACTTACTCTAAGGCAAATCCTTCACGGCTGGAGGCGGTAAAGCAACAAAGGTTAAGACACCGAAGGCCCCTCATGAACTCAGGCCCCTCGTCACGGGCTCCCCTAGAGCTGGCAGGCTGGTCCCAGCTGGAGCCGCAAGCCCGAGGCAGATCCTGTTTCTACTCCCCTGGAGGCGGCGGCCTGGGGTCCCCAGGCTGTTCCACTGGGCGCCCGAAGCACCTGGGCAGCGCACCTCCAGGTGCTGGGGACGGGAGAAGGATATTGTGCTGGTCACAAAGCCAAGCTCTCGGGACACAGGACAAGATGAAAGGAAACACCGCACCTGGGTCTTATGCAAAGACCCACAGCA